CCCTCCCCCACACTGGAAGTCGACTGTGCTCGCTGCCAGTTGGTCCTTTGGGGGCAAATGTTAAAGAACAGGAGGGCTTTGCAGGATCACCATTTCGCCTGAGACATGACTGAAAAAATAGACTACCTGTTGAACAGACAAGACGGCCTGCACAGGCCATGACTAGCCGGTCAGTCATCGGGGCTCGTGGGAATTGAACTTGCCCTGTGGTGCAGACGCTGTGAGGACACAATAAGCTGCGCGCCACGGATTTGTCGAGCCAATACGGCGATCAGACTGGGTCATGACACGACTCAGCTTGGGTTCACTCGCGCCTGAGTGGAAAACCTTAAACGTAGACCACTACGCCATGCCAGCCACTGAGCTCCATTCGACCACCCGGTGGTTGACGCGAGAGAGAGAGAGAGAGAGAGAGAGAGAGAGAGAGAGAGAGAGAGAGAGTAGAAAGAGAGATTGAGGCTGAAACTGGGGTATGCATCCGTACAGCACACCAGTCAACTCCTCACTAGTATAAATCTGCCTCACCAAGAGACGCGGCTTGGACGGTTGCCAATTGACGGGATAACTAGGTCATTGCGGCCATTACTGAGCGTGTGCATTTTGGAAAGACTAGCTCGAGGACAAGGCGCCATGCTCAGTGGCACCTTCTCAATGTGGTCATTATGACATCTTCGCGCGTGTGAGATCGGGGACTTCCAGCGCATACGGGGAGCGGGGTCCAGGTCGTGTGTGGCACGCGTAAACGGACCGTCTAACTTAGTCAGCCGCGGCGCAAGCGCCTGTGCGGAGGCGCCAGACTATCTTGCCCTTACCCACCTATTCATCATTCCTGAACTTACTGTTTGTTTCACTGAATGGAAGGAACTCGACACAAGGCGACGCGCTTGGCACCTGATGCATTGTCAGGTCGTTTGACATTTGATTACTAATTCTTTCATAACTCCTTTCTTATCCTGATATCCATAGTCTGAGATTGGCAGTCGTGTCGTTTGCGCTCGCAACACGTCAACCTTCAGTTGTCTTTGCACTGTCTTCGCATCGGAACAAAGTGAGTGTAGAAGGGGAGAGTGTTTAGATGTTCCGCAAGTCTACGTCACTAAAAACGAATTCATTCTGAAATCACTATCGGTGCACCTGACGTAAGAAGGTAATGTACTCATGAACTAAAGAGTTATAACTCATGAGCCCCTAGCCTTAAAGGCAGCAAGTAAAACTGAGCAGTGAAGAAAATAGAGATTTTGAACGTTAAGAAAACTGACAATATAGCATGCCAGCGGAGCACGCTTGCAGGGCGGGTTGTGCAGGTGTGTTGGTTTCCGTCACCTTCAAACAAGCAATCCGGTCAAAGAAAATGGGCCTAAATTGTCAAAGGTAAATTAGTCCGGTACCTCCACACATCCGCCCTGCGAGGTGCGCGAAATGGTCGCTTGTGACGTTCGAATCGCTATTCGCCCGCATATTGTGTCAATCGTTTCATGGAAGCTCATGCTACGAAACGGAGTGGTCACCGGTCCGCCTAGAACAAGGCCAAAAGGATATCCTTCGTCACTGGTAGAGATCAAAATCGTCTGTCGACCGCAAGTCAAGTCAAGCAGCCTGCAGAGGCCCCTTCAGATCAGGCTAGGCGGTCAACCATGAGAACTGGGAAGTGTGGAACTTGCCGCGTGGGGCAGGCTCTGTAACGCCAAAGCAGGGGGCGGATTGTACTGCGGTGGACGATTGACGGGGTGGAGGGACAGAGAATGAGAGCAGCGGCAGCTTCGGAGCCGATTGGCAATTTTCTCTTCGCTGATTGGCTCCAAGCAAAGCTCGATCGGTCGGTCTGACCAAGTTGACACACCATTACCCCACATAGTGCCAGGCTGCCAACGCGATGCTGAACACAAGCCGTCATAATTGCCGAACTAGACGACTGTGAATACAGAAATGTTGAGCACATTGCATCAGATCGTCCAAAACATCAGCAGATCAGGTATGTGAAGAGAATATAACCCCTAAAGGGATCAAGATATGAGGAGATTTGGTCAGGTGTGGTTATGTAGCCCCATCTGAAGTAAACAAAACCCAGCCACATATAATACGGGGCCGGTGGTAATAGGGGGTTTTTACAGGTAGGGTCGGGAAACGCACAGGTGATGGGGTCAAGTAGTTGTATGCAAAAGATAATCTATTAGGAATGCGCGGTTGTACTTTGAGCAGTTGAGAGATAGTGGCCCTAGCCACTAACCCTAACCTCTAGCCCTAACCCCTAACTCTAACCCCTAACCCTAACTCCTAGCCCTAATCCCTAACCCTAGCCCCCAACCATAATTCCTAGCCCTAGTCCCTAACCCCAACCAAAACAGTATTGTGTCCTTCAGGTGGGGCTTAATAACCGCATCTTACAGGAAATTTACTACTAAATTGCGACATTACTTTATGCAGTTAGGTATTAGAGACAACTCTGTATATGAACTTAATATGTGAACAGACGGTGTTTGATCGCGACTTATATGCACATAACAGGTATCGATTAAACCTCACCCTACCCCATGGTAGTGTGGAGCTTGAGGGGAGCCTCTCTGAGGTCATCCATATCTGGCTTTCTTGCTGAAGTCGCGATGCAAAAATTAGAAGACATGGCCCTACCATTAGCCCAGACTCATAGATACGCTGTATAAACGACACCATTGTTGTCATGAAGAGGGATCAACTGGAAAAGACCCCACAGCGTTACTGACTCAACACTCCCGAGAATCACATTCACTCCCGAAGCATGTGTTTAACAAGCTCCCATTCCTTGACGTCTTCGCACATCGAATGACTGACGGACCAGTTCACACGTCAGTTTACCGCAAAGAAACCCAGGCGGAGGGCAGAGGCAGTCACCCCATCACACCCAGACAGCGAGCCATCAGCGGCCTACTTAATCTAGCAAAGGCACACTGCTCTGGCAACGAAAACTACCAGATAGGACTTAGTTATTCAATGGTAGGGGGCGTTCACCGATCATTCTTACGGAACTCACTCGTTCCGTTGTGCCTTTCGGGCTCTCTCTCGAGCCCAACCAGCAGTCGTACAGCGGCGCATGATATTGGCGGTATGTTGTTACCGACGTGTCTTTGTTGGCTGATCAGTCTCCCTTGTCTTTGTCGGTAATAACATACCACTTAGTTATTCGTTCAAACTGGCTGGTTAAAATGGTTGCCCTAGACATTTTGCAGATCGACAATGGGATTTAAAGGAAGAGGACGAGGAGCTAGAGTGTTCCAAACGGGCGCCGAAACCGAGAAACTGGTGAACACGTTCCTACATTAAGAATGCATCCGAACTCGTTGAAAGACACCCGAGGAAACACCAAAAAGTGACGCATAAACCGACGACTACACTGTGCAGCCACTTGTACACCCTAAAGGTGGGGTTGGCTAGTTATGTAAAGGGGAAGTGATCCACAGGACTCCATCCGACGGCTGTAGTACAGTGCACTGTGGTCAACATGCATGCATGAGCACGAATTGGCGGTAAAAAAGCGAGACGGACAACAGCATACACGCAATAATGGTGGAAGCGCGAAATGCGATGAAGCGAGGGAAGCGTGAGAAAACGTAGCTACCTATTTGGGTCTAAGTTGGCAGTAAGCGACAGTTTCATTTGTCAGTCGTCATGATGTTGCTGATAAAATCGCAAAAAGTGACAGTCATCAAAATCAACGTCTTGCTAACTTATAGGAAGACACCGCTGGTAGGAGAGACATCGGCCCTAATTGGTGACGCTAATGGTTTCGCACCCGAAGGTCTGCGTTTCGACGCCCGGGAAACACCTTCAGGCTCTGCTATGAGCGTACTCCGCTCAATGTTAGCTCCCAGCTGTTGGGCCACCTCGAGCGAATATCAGTACCATCTTGATGGTGGCGGCGGCGGCGGCGGTGATGGTGGTGCTGGCGATGGTAGTAGTAATAGTAATAGTAGTAGTAGTAGTAGTAGTAGTAGTAGTAGTTGTTGTTGTTGTTGTTGTTGTTGTTGTTGTAGTTTTGACCTCTTCATACGAGCTGTTGTGGTCATCGGCAAATTTTCGGACAGTGTCCACTATAACTGTCATATTAAGCAAAACATCTGTTTGAAATACGAGAAACGAAATTGGCATTGCGCGTTCCTCGATTATGACCTACCTCAACAGATGCTCAAAGCACTGTCTTTGACTTTATTTACAAACCGACATCTTCTATAAAGATAGTTGGAGAACTTAGTGTAAACTGCCAATAGAAGCGAAGAGACGAGTCCCAGGAAGCAGTCCTGAAGAAGGAGACACGATCGCTGAGACAAGAGCTTTATTCGCCCGAGGTTTCGGGTTCTTGTTCGAACCTATCATCAGAGACAATAGCAGATGGTGGGTTCGAGCAGGAATCAGAAACTTCAGGCGAATAAAGCTCTTGTCCCAGCGAACGTGTCACCTTTTTCACGCAGTGTAAACTGTTCGCAGTAGTAAGGATGTCTGTTTCAGTTCTTTCACTGGTTGTGGTCTGTCCTTGCAAATCATCCTGTTCAGGTTGTTCGACAGGAAGAACTTAGGTAGGCAAAAACCAGGAGATCTGGGTGATAACTCCACAGACACTGCCCGATCCACCCTTCGGCAGTCGATGGCCGACATGTCAGAAATTACTTCTTGTCGCAACGATCACCAACATAACTCTCCTAAACGGTTAGATGCCGTTATTTTACCCCGAGCCATGACCGTCCGGATCATTTTACACGCAGCTAAGAGCGAAACGGCACGGTTGTTCCCTATCCAAAAAAGGGGGGGGTTAGCCCTTCTGTTTAGAAAGAGAATGGTTTTAGAGGTTAAGAGAAACCCCCGACTGTTGCCTACCGGTAGAAACCATGCACAGAGTTCCTCTCACCAGTCAGCATAAGCAGTGCGGTTCGGCCCTCATTGGTGACGCAAATGGTTTCACGCCCGAAAGTCCGCGTTTAAACGCTCGGGAAACACCTTCAGGCGCTGCTGTGACAGTAATCCAAGTACTGCTAGTTTGCAGCTTTTGGCCCACCTCGAGCGCATATTAGTACTGTCTTGGTGGTGGTGGTGGTGGTGGCGGCGGCGGCGGTGGTGGTGGTGGTGGTGGTGGCGGTGGCAGCGGCGGCGGCGGCGGTGCTGGTGGCTGGACCTACGCACGCATCTGTCCACTAGGTAAAAAACAGTATTTCTTTAAGATTCTATGGACGGCACCCTTAGAGGCTCCACATTTTTGGTTAAGCCGTCAAATGTTCTTCTGTGAACGACCACGTCGTCAGTTAATGTGCATGCCCTATCATCTCTCGGTAAAATCTGCATGCGGACTGTTTGCATGATTTGTTGGGTCGCGTTCTGAAATGAATTAGGAGGGAATGACCTCCTGCAATAGCGTTTGGAAGGTGAACTTTCTTGTGACCTCATCGGAGTTTCATCAACCACATTCAGCCTAAAGAACTACCAAGTAGATCCTCTCAGGAATGTTTAGTTTCGTCAATCTCGGCTCCTTTGCTATTACTACCTACATTCCGTTGCGGGTCTCCGCTTTTGCATGCTTAGCTAACTACCTTACCCCCACCCCCCACAACGGGCTGAGGTTGCGCCGAGTCCACGTAAGTCGATAATTATTGCCGTATGCTGGCACGTATAAAACACAGACCTTCACCTCGCATCAGTCCCTGCTTTCCGTCAGTAGACATGCTCGAACAGGCGACTTGAGTGTGGGAAATGGAGGAGGGATGGCAGAAACAACACTGGAGTGCAGCCCACTCTCCCACTGCATTAACGCATTTCTAATTTTAATAGATCTGACGACCCTAAACCTATCATCACCTGCTGTCAATTGTGCCTTGGAAAGTTCCAAGCTGACGGGATAACTCAGATTCCTCCCAGGACTTAGTGTCACGCCGCAATGGCTTCCTCCTACTGTGACTTCGCTGGAACTCCCATGCATGTGGGCTCCGAGCTGTCCATAGTACTGCCCGGCACATGTAGCGGTGGTCAGGTCGTGTGTGGCACGCGCAGACGGGCCACTTTGATTTGTCAGACACTTCGCTCGATTCCACCTCGGGTCGTCTTGACCTTGTGGCCGTCCCCGTCTGCTTGCCCTCCGCTGATTTGTCACACTTCCCTTCAGTCCGTCGCACACTCCCTGTCGATCCGCTGCTGGCACGCGCGATTGCTCGAAGCCAATCAACGTTGCCTCTCCTCTGATTGGCCGGTGGACGCTGAGACAACGAAAAACGCACACGCGCTGGGTCTGAGCACCTCGATGGTGGACACAGACAGCGACAGCTTGCTTGGAGGGCGCGCTAGTGGCGACTGCATGTAGGGCTTTGTGTACGCACTTCCCCAGGCTGTAAAGGTTGTCCAACCCAACACGTCTTGCCTGATTCGGGGATCTTTGTCTTGTCGACCACCCCAATTCCAACACCCTTGTCTTGCCATCGGAGCAAGGTGTGTGAGAGGAGGGAGAGAGGGGGGGGGTTAAATGTTGCACATAAATCAGTTTCCACGCAATCCACCAGCGGTGCGTCCACTCCGGGCGGAACACGATAGACGTCATCGCTTGAGACGGCAAAAGTTTCATGCCTGGTTGATGTCACTGTTGAGCGATGCGCTCATTCCTGAATGCCCAGGTCTTGCAGTTACAGGCTACATCCTCGTCGATCCACTTTGCAACGATGCAGTGCGCCAAGTCGCCATGGCAAAGAACCCGGCCAGTGGACGGGCACTCGCCGAGATGACTAAGGCTCACGCATGCACACATACGCCTGTGCGCACGTGAGGGTTCGGTGCGTGCACTCACCTGATCGGTCAGATAATCTTTCGGCATCGGATCCTTTGAAGACTCGGGTACTTTGAACTTTGCTTGCATTCGCGCAACATTAACATTACATGCAAACGAAATTTGGAAAACATGCAAAAAGTTCCACAAAAGCGACCTTTTTTAAAGCTGAAACCTTTGATTTTACCGCAGTAATCGTGACCGAGGGTCTTTTACACTTTTCGACTACGAAAGTCTCTCTTGTAGGTTGGGGGAGAGAATAGGGGGGGGGGAGGAGGGGGCAACGAGAGGGGCAGAAGGAGTGAATCAGTTTTTTTCGTGGGACAGAGTGGTTTGGGGGAAACGCTATTTCCCATGAGGCGAGGATGTTCAAGAAGACTGCGGTGGGGAGCGCGCGAGATGAAACTGACGGCAACATTGCATGAGGGGGGGGGGGGCGCGATAGTAAACCTCTTACTCAAACCGTCTGACGCTAAAAGAACTTACGCCGACGGCCTGACATCAGTCCTCAATTACTTCAGTTAAAACCCACTCTGTTGCCCTCTTGAGCGAAAAGCGTTGTCAGTCATCTTATGACCTATGAAAATGCGAGAACGGGACGCCCTTCGTCCTTCCTATTTCGGCATGCGCCGTTAAACTACTGTGGCAACGACGGTGATGCATAAAGATGCCCCCGGTGGAATTAGCGGTAGCAACCCCTCCGTCATACGGGCAATCTTACGTTAACTTCTAGAGGGATAAGGTTAGGGTTAAGAGAGGGCTTCGTTTAGGGTTAGGGCTAGGTTTAGATTTAGGATTCGTGAATAGATGTTTCTCCGGGAATTTAGCGTAGGGCCACCTGTATTGCGGCTGTTCCTATTCTCGTGTCGTACTGAGTGGACGAATGCGGACGGGTGCTTTACTGCCTTTCATGCAATAAAATCAAACGACGGGTTTGGACAGTCCGACTGGAGTCCCCAAAATGCAACGGATCGGTGTCTAGAACTCGGTAACTGACAAAGTTGTAAAGGGATAAGTGACAGCTTTGCGCCACCTCAAACTACCGAGGGTATGTCAGTGGGCTTCAGAAGAACCTTTAGGATAATGGAGGGTATTTGGAGAGAAAAAATGTCGTCCACACAGTTGTCTGGGATGCCTGCAATGCAGTATACTGTGGCCAAACTAAAAAAATCTGCCTCCGCAAGCGTACATGAATGCGGATTAGCTTTAGGGACGGCGCACCACAGGTCCTCCTGTGTTCACTCGACCTAGACGACTAGGACCGGCCCGTTTTCAGGCCGCGAAGGCGGAGTTTGAACACATGCTGCAACTGGGAATCATTCGACCGTCCGAGAGTCCCTGGGCGTCCCCCCTGCACATAGTGCCCAAGGCGATCTCAGGCGACTGGAGACCCTGTTGCGGCTATCGTGCCCTCAACAATGCCACAATTCGCAATCGATATCCTGTGCCTCATCTTCAGGATTTTGCTGGGGCCCTTTTCGGCAAAGCGGTTTTCTCGAATATTGACCTGATGTGTGCCTTTCATCAGATTCCGGTCGTCCCTGAGAATATCCCTAAAACTGCCGTCACTGCATCTTTTGGCCTCTTTGAATACATCCACATGCCTTTCGGTCTTCGTAATGTCGCCTAAACGTCCCAGAGATCCATTGACCATGTCTTACGTGGCCTATCGTTTGTGTACGCCTACATCGATGATCTCTTAGTGGCTAACCGAAATTCAGGAGAACGCAAAGCGCACCTTGCCTTGATGTTTGACCGCCCTGATAAGTTTTGCCTTATCATCAATCCCTCCAAGTGCGTGCTGGGTGTTCCTTCGTCCCAATTCCTCGGCCATCAGGTCGACTCTGAAGGTTTGCGTCCCCTTCCCTCCAACGTTGAAGAAATTCGTGATTTCCCTCCACTAACCTCCAAGCGTCAGTTGCGGCGATTTCATAGCGATTTCAACTTCTACCGCCTCTTCCTACCGAACTGTGCTTACCTTATGCTGACACTCACCAACATGCCTTCTGGTCCCAAAGGCTCCCCCCGAGCTGACTGCTGAAGCACCGACTGCTTTTGAGAGAATCAAGAATTCCCTTGCCGACGCCACCTTGGTCACGAATCCCGCTCCCGAAGCTCAGTTGTCCCTGGTGGTAGATACTTCGTCCGTAACCGTAGGTGCAGTCCTTCAGCAACACCTTGTTGGTCCGATTCGACCACTGGCCCTTTTCTCTAAAAAGTTCTTGCCGGCTGAGACCCGCTACAGTACCTTTGGTCGTGAACTACTTGCTATTTATCTGGTTGTGAAGCCTTTCCTTGAAGGTCAGGACTTCTTCGTTTTCACGGATCACAAGCCGCTGACCTTTGCTCTTCGTTCCCACTCCGACAGTTTAATCCGTGAGAGATCGCCCACCTGGACTAAATCCCCAAGTTCACCACCGACATCCGCAACATTTATGGCACGAAGAATGAGGTGGCTGGTATGCTGTCCAGGCCCGCACTGTCTTCCCTCCAACTCACACATGGGATCGACCTTGGCGCCATGGCGACTGAGCAACGAGTCGGTTGTCCTGGCGACGAGTCCGTTAGTGGTCTCCGACTCAAAGACGTTCCACTGACCACCGGTACCGGTACCATACTTTGTGATGTCTCCACCCATTTTTATCACCCCCTCTTGCCCGCCTTAATACGCCGAGCTGTGTTTCAAACTCTGCATGGACTAGTAAACCCTGGGATCCCAGCCTCTCAAAAGCTCCTCGTGGGAAGGTTTGTCTGGCCTGGCATGGACAAGGACGTAAAAGCTTCGGCCCGCTCGTGTCTGAATTGCCAGCGTAACAAGGTGCAACGTCTCAACATGTCCCCACCAGGCACTTTCCCCGGTCCCGACGCACGGTTTATGCGCATTCGGACGACAGCCTACCACCCAGCTGCCAACGGTATGATTGGGCGTTTCCATCGTCAGCCAAAGACTGCCCTACGTGCTTCAGAAGACCCAGGAAACTGGTCAGACAACCTCCCCCTTGCACTCCTCCGCATTTGCACAGCTCTGAATTCGGATTTGGACTGTAGTGCAGCTGAATTGTTTTTGGGCATTACCCTCCGACTGCCAGGCGAGATGGTCACCCCAACTGCTCGTGGTGCCGATAAGATTCTTGACAATTTTGTGCACCGTTTGCGGCAATTTATGCGCACGCTTTCCCGGTTCCACTTCGAACTCCAACGATCGAGTCGTAGGTCGAATAAGGCTTGGACAACTGCACTGATGTGTTCGTTCGGTGTGACCGTGTGCGCCCGCCGGTGGAATCGCCATACGAAGGACCGTTCCGTGTGCTCGCACGCAACACCAAGACGTGCCGGATACTTCGCGGTGACAAGTAGGATGTGTCAGTGCCGATCGGGTCAAGGCTGCTGTCGCAGAGGGGTCGCCGGATCTGCCTCAAGGAAAAGACAAAGAGTAGCTAGCAAATCAGAAGTCAGGTAAGACGGGTTGGGTCGGACAACCTTTACTGCCTGAGGAAGTGCGTACGAGAAACCCTCCAAGCAGTCGCCGCGAGCGCGCTCTCCAGGCAAGTTGTTGTCGGTGTCCGCCATCGAGGTGCTCAGACCCCGCGCCTGTGTGCGTCCTTCGTTGTCTCAGCGTCCGCCAGCCAATCAGAGGAGGCACAGCGTTGATTGGCTTCGAGCACTCGCGAGGCCAGTGACAAATCTCGCGCGTTCCAGCAGCGAATCGACAGGGACTGTGAGGCGGACAGGAAGGCAGGGCAGGGAGATACTAACAGCCACAGATTAGCTCTTGGTAAAAAGGCCTAGTGCCAAGGCACTGCATACACCGGCTGTTAGGTCCATATTTGTCAGTGTGCGAACTAGCATTGCTGGCATGGGCGGAGAAATCACCCAAACCATACACTCGAGCAATCGGCATACCAAGTCAGATGTCGGGTACAGGAATCGCAGGGCCAAGTGAACAAGACGACGTACATCACGAACCGGATCACTGCATGTAGCAAAAACTGCTTGACTTAAGGGTTGAAATTCAAAGGCTTTTAGGTACGCTTAAAAAGCGTGTTTTTTTACACACCTACTCTATGTCTGGCAGTAACCTGAAGGAACAGCATCTGATATCTGCCTTCCCAAGGAATGCACTCGACTAATTAAGTTGACAGAATGAGAAATGCCATCGGACCAACATCAGTAGGATTGTTAATTACATTATTTCCGTTATCTACAGCAATTCCAGTCAGAAAATACCGAATCCAGCTCCATCTTGCCATTGGTGATGTCTCCCCAAATCCAAAGGTATTTACCTTTCATTCGAATATGTCGTTCGTAGGGCATAAGAACAGTAAGCATGCGTGTAGAAGTAGACATTTGTCGCCCCGCGAAATGTGGTCCAAATTTAGGGCCGTTCTACGATGGCTGATAGACAATAGTAAAGAAAACACCAGACGGCTGCTGGAGCTTACTCTTAAGTTGGATGCCCAAGCTGAAGGAAGAGCGACCGCAGCACCTGCCTTTCGGCAGCAGATGGTAAGTTTCTTATGACCTTCAGATTTGTCGGATAGGTTAGTCACTTATCGAGTTTTGTAGGAGAGAACTTAGGCGCATTCGTTGATCGAGTTTTCAGTGCCCTGTTTGGGGACGAGATCACCAATCACTTAACGTTTTATGGACGACAACAGGGCAAGAGCGTCTTCTTTGGCTCCACTGCGTACGCAGTAGTCCTAGGTAGTACGAGCATTGCCAATAGAAGCGAAGAGCCGAGTCCCAGGAAGTAGTCTTGAAGAAGGAGACACGATCGCCGGGACAAGAGCTTTATTAGCCTGACGTTTCGGATTCCTACTCGAATCCATCATCAGAGACAAAAGAGCAGAAACGGGTGGTCGTTGCACAAAGGGCTGCGGTATTTATAGGATGCAGTAGCCATGCTACCGCATACCTATGAACGTTCACGGCTCCCCCCTTCATCCGGGATTGTCGCACTTGGTGTGATCATTGCTTGATGGCCGACATTCGAGTCGATAATTGCTGCAATTTCATCACGTGCGTTGGATGTTGGCGTGATGATTGCTCGACCATCTGACGCATCGATCCCGGTGTTGGGAAGAGTGTTCACCTCTGCGCTCCCCGCATGGCCTGTTACCCCGCCTAGGCGAAGTTTCAGTACGGAGTATGGAATGGGAAGATCGTTCAACTTGTTGATGGACTGGGGGCCAGTAAACCATGATTCCAGTAGCTCCCGGCTCATTCGGTTGTCACCTCTTGCGAGAATTTCGGCCTCATCGAATTTAAATGTGTGGCCGGATCTCGTCGAATGAGCCGCAACTTGAGAGCTGGCGTCATTTCTGCGCACCGCTGCCGCGTGTTCGGCCATTCTCGTTCGGAGCTGTCTTCCGGTTTCTCCGACGTAGTTGCTTTGTCCGCAACTGCACCAGATCCGATAAACGACTCCAGACGTTTCTAGCCGTGGCAGTGGGTCTTTCGGTTTCATGATCAGACGCCTGATGGTTGCCTCCGGTCTGTGTGCCACTCCAACCCCAAGAGGTGCGAGAAGGCGGCCGACAGCTTCCGAAACGTTCTTGACATACGGAAGTGCCCGCCAAGACTTGGTGTCCGTGCGGTTAGGCCCTTCGTCCCTTTTGCGTATTCACCGGTCGACGAAGTTGCGCGGGTAGCCATTGGCTTTGAAGACCCGTCGGAGGTATTGTAGTTCAGCAATTTTGTCTTCCGGCTCACTGCAGTGCGTTCCGACACGCCGATAGAACGTCCTTACACAACTGCGTTTGTGGCTGATTGGGTGGTTACTGTTGAAGTTCAGTACTTGCATCGTATTTGTCACTTTCCTGAACACTTTGGTTTTTAGTTCACCACAATCTTTGCGGCATACGAGGACATCCAGGAAGGCCAGCTGGTTGTTCTCTTCCTCCTCCATCGTAAATTGAATGTCCGGGAAGACGGCGTTGAGATGTTCTTGGAATGTCAACACCTGATCCCGTTCGATGACGACGAAGGTATCATCCACATACCGGGCCCAGAATTTCGGTCTGTGGTGTTGGAAGACCAGCGACTCTAACCGTTGCAGGACCGCCTCGGCGATGAATCCCGAAATCGGCGAACCCATTGGTGTGCCCTTCACCTGTTCGTAGATTGTCCCGTCGAACGTGAAGTACGTCCTGAGACAGAGCTTAAAGAGCTGAAGGACTTGGGCGTGTCCAAGACGGTTCTCCGTTTCATCGTATTTGCTTTGTAGTAGCAGCTCAATTGTCTCGATCGCCAGGTCCTGGGGAATAGAAGTAAAAAGGGATGTAACATCAAAAGATACCATGACCTCATTTGGATGGATGCTTACCCCTTTGAGTTTCTCCAGTAACTGTGCTGACGAAGAGACCGTGGTGTCTGACTCAGCGGTCAGGAACTTGAGACGCCGGAACAACCACTTAGCCAGTCCGTACCTTGGAGTCCCTTTGAGCGACACGATGGGTCGGAGAGGAGCGCCGTCTTTATGCACCTTAGGGAGGCCATAGAATCGGGCCAAAGCCGTATCTTGGGGTCTCGCCATGCGTCTGTCGGTCGGTGTTATTGCACCTGAGTTCTCCAAGGCCAACAACGTAGCATTAATTTCGCGTGTCAGCGCCTTTAAAGGGTTCGTTGCACATGGGACATAGAACTGTCGGTCCCCCAGTAAACCTTTGGCTTTTTGAAGGTAGTCTGTCCTGGCCAGTACAACTGTGGCGCGTCCTTTGTCCGCTGGCACGATGACCAGGTCTTTGTCGGCCTTGAGTTCTCTAAGCGCATCACGTTCGACCTTAGAAAGCACTTCCCGCGGCCTGTGAGCCATCAGGAGAGACGAAACTTGGTGTCGGATGAGGTTCTTAGTCTCCTCCGTGAACGTTCATAGGTATGCGGTAGCATGGCTACTGCATCCTATAAATACCGCAGCCCCTTGTGCAACGACCACCCGTTTCTGCTCTTTTGTCTCTGATGATGGATTCGAGTAGGAATCCGAAACGTCAGGCTAATAAAGCTCTTGTCCCGACGATCGTGTCTCCTTCTTCAAGTACGAGCATTATTTTCCGCAATTAACTAACACCCAAACAGATGTCTTGAACAGACGGAATGCCGACCTCAATTGGGATCGCCATGAATTGGAGAAAACGTTCCGAATCACATTCATTAGGGCTTATGATCGCCTGCAGAAAAAGGACAAATAAATTATCTACGTCACGTCAACTGGACGGTCAGTTACTCCTTCATAATCCAACCTAATGCAGTTCATATTTATATTACACAACTTAACTTGAATGCACTTTCTTTAAGAAGTTGCGGACGATAACGACAATACTCCCCGTCCGGAACCGTCTGGCTCCTCTTCACAGTCTTGAACGGCTTGTTCGGACATATTAACTAAGACATTAATACTTTTTTTCCCGTTATAACTATTTTGTACCAGATTTCTTACAATTTTTACTATATACCTGCATTGTACACGTTATTTTTTTACAAAAAATAATAACCAACAAACACATTACTCGTCTTCATTTCTACTGCTTACGGGATAGTAGATTAGCATTTTGAGCATGAAAATAGGGGGAACGGCTTTAGAGTGAGATTATTGAGAAAAAAGTGGGGGGGGGAGAGGGGGTTCTGCTCGGGTACGACGCGAAATTAGAATTTTCTGTGCCGAGCCTCTGCGCCGATTCTGAACAGATTTGAGTGACAGCCTAGGCGCAGATTCTGCGTAGATTAGTCTGAACCTCTGCTTAGATTTTGAGCAGGGTGGTAGAATTCAAACATGACATTAAGGTATGCTTGGTGTTTTGGACATAAAAATAAGTAGTTATAAGCGTCTTCAGAGGTGTCACGAGCAATTGCTGATTTCAGCTATTCGCGGGTAACTAGGGTCTCTAAGCTCTGCGAGTACTTTGGGTGGACTACATTCATAGAGGGGGTGCTTGTGGCACTTACACAGTGAGTGCACCCGGATTTTCACAATAATCATGGCCCAGTCCTGTTTAAGAAGAGAACGCGAAAGAGGCCAGTATCGGGTCGTGTATTATACATAGAAAATCCGTTGTGGCAAGAGTCCTGGCGCGCAGCCGGTTCTCGGCTTGCGCGCGCGTCTGACCGACAGGCTGATGCGGGCAGCACTGAATAAGCGTCATGTGACAATCACACAACGTCAGGTTGGTGAGTTGATTGGGTGATTGACGAGTTTGTAGGCTCCTGCAATTGGCTGTCCTGGATGCTGCCCGTGCGCGTGCTTTGGCCGCTCGGGGGCCGTGATCACGTGAGTAGCGTGTACGTGTCGGAGGCGGACTGCCTAAGGCATTGCATTTTCACCGACTAAGTTACAGGAGGTGCTCGCCAGACGCCCCTTGGGGCTCTGCCTAGAGCCCTCGCAGACGGCCACATAGCGACCCCTATGATGTACGGAGATGGGGCCACCGAATGGGACGGGGGACACTGCAGTGACTATTTTTGGCTCGTCGACCGATCATATCCAACCCTGTATATTCCAGTGGTAATCTGGGAAAATTCAGGCACCACCGAGATTTGAACTCGGGTCGCAGGATTCAGAGTCCTGAGTGCTAACCACTACACCATGGCGCCACGCCTGGCCGCCCCTTAATAATAAATAACAGCCAAAATGGTTTAAAAAGTGAGAGCGGCGAGTTAGTCGACGCAGCCGATTATTCTGGAAGGATTTTGATGGGTCATAGACAAAGTTCGAATCTATTCTTTCGATTAGGGCCACTGTCCCATTTAATTGAGACAAAGGCTGTGGATAAAGGACTTCCCGCGTTCGGCCGAGGGAGTTGACCTATCGTGATCAACGAGCACTGCCGCTGTCCTGATCGTACAATGGTGACTGTCGCTTAAATGAACTTACGGTGAGGAAAACTTTTGCAACATCAACCTGCATAAATAGAAAAATAGCGCTATGAGAACCGAGTGTGGGTATAGGCGCAATGACTGAGGAGCATGAATTAACATCTACGCGTTTCAGGCACTATGTACTGCTGAACCGGACGTCAAAATTTATCTTGGACTAGCCGGACCCCGCCACGCGTTGCTGTGGCTCAAACTGATGAATTGGGAAATACGGGAAGGAGGAAGGAGCACGTTCCCAATTAAGAAAAATGTAAGGGCCGCCGGTTGGCGGTACGTATTGTGTGCGAAACCCAAGATTGTCCTTCTAGCCGCTGTCGAAGACAGGGCAATTGTTTGCTGCACTCAGCCGCGCTCGAGATTTCCGCAGTAAGTGGTGACAGCTGGCATTTATATCGTCCACCGGTTTCGATCGAGGCAGTGGTGGCCTGAAGTCTCCTGCGGGCAGTAGCAGTGCATCAGAAATGGTCTGCTGTTTCCTCGCAAATCCTGCAGTGTTCGATCAGGGGCCTCGAGCACTTTTTTGCGCCATTGTGCATTCATCCCAAACGATAGGTTTGCATTTCTGCAGTACTTTTCCCATGCCGGATGCTTTGGAAATGTTACACGCAGGGGTTTCAATGAATTGCGACTTCAAAGGCAATTTCGAAGCTGAATGAACGGGTTTTCTGCCAGGTAGCAGAGTAGCAGCTATTCCGGGGATGTAAGTGCTAGGGCTATGTCATTTATTGGATCGAACTGCCGTCAGAATCGGCCGTCGTAGGAACGTTTTGCCAGTCCCTCCTGGCACATATAGGAAGAAGTTTCCTCCAACCCCGTTATTGACATTCCGCAGTATTTGGTCGTAAATGTCATTCTGCCTTAGTCTTAGCTTGTGAATGTTTTGATTGCAAGTCATCTGCAAATTCTATTTCTCCGGTAAATCTGTTGGAGATGAAGGTGAGAATACGATCAATATGACTGCAAACAATGCATGAATTTGATGTGGATGGGACGTGTTGCAGGCGTCATCCATACATACGTCCCACTGTTGATCGTTCTCCAGTAACTGAAGAGCCTGACACGCACTGCTGAAAGTGGCATGCGTAGCGCCATTGACAGATTTCAATTGCTGGAAAGACGTTGGACGTGGCACATTCATCAACACCATGCGAAGTAAGATTGGAATGCACGGTATGCAGTCTGCCTATCGCAGTTCCTTTGAGTATGCCGGCGTGTCCGTCCAGTCGCTCTCCTCGTTTGCGTTGTTCGGATGATTTTCTACACACATTCCCTGTATAATACGTAGGCACTTCCGAATGCGGCAGTGTTTTCGCAAACGCGTCACTTTGGCTTAACGTGGAGAACGCAGTTAATGTTGTTGCCAGTGGACCTAAGGCAACCTTTTCGCGCGTTTGCATCGGTAAAGTAAACGCATTGCCCATTCTCTAACTGTACCGCAGGCGAACAGCACCTGGACTTCGCACATGGATAGGGAATGAAAGAATTCGCCACATGGATTTCTTGCCGTTGACGCATCTTCCAGCCCAATACTGTGTGATTTCATTGTGTTGTGTGTCCTCATCCCTTTATCTCCTTTCGTGTTGCAGGCCGAAAACGGCCATGCCGTTGCCTTTATTCACGTACTTACATATGTACCTAATTCATTTCTTAAAATTGCAGTGTTCCACGTTTATGTGAGCTGCGTTTTACTTTTAAAAGCAAAGGCGAATACGAAACAACCCAGCGGTTACCGACTTCTATGTCACCGATTCGCATTCGTACGGTTGCCACTTTGCCGATGTCTTCCGCTGATCATTTTCGGTATAAGGGACTTCCGTCTTTCATGCCGGGAGAGGGGGGGGTTAGAGAATTGAGATTCAGTGCATCCAAGGTCCCTGTATCATATTCTTCGTCACAACTTCATGCAAATCATAGTCGACGTCGATATCAGGTAATTCGGCGCATATTGCGTCGTCGATTTAGTTGGAAACGATCTTGTTATAGAGCCAGATCAGGACATGTGCATGGAGCAATCCCCGCTTTTGCCGTTCCACCTAATACCTCCAGCAGCGCACAGACCCAACCACCTCGTGTTTCACTATGAAGTTCATCAGCGATTGCAGTTTCTTCCCAAAAACACGTTCTGTGATGTTATACCTATTTACTGCCGATAGCCCTGGAGGTAAGAGCTGATAAACATCCCCCAAGCTGGATTGCCTGTGAATGTAATGAGTAGGTTTGGACGTCCGTACTGACAAACGTAAGCAATTGCACCTCGAGCGTACTCGAACATATGGCGTGGACTGTCTGTGTATGTGGACGACAAAAGCGTTAGTCTTACAACTTTATCTGTGTTACCGTCGTTTACAACTGCATCATACAAAGGAATATAGTCTTCAGAGCGCAGCTTATTCGGATTCAAGCGAAGGTAAAGCAGGCGTTCAGTTTCGATTTTTGCATACATATCCACAATGCAGTGATGAAAAAATTTACGGCATTTCAAAAGGGGGATTACCTACATTCAGTCGAATCATAAATCGGTAGGAGTAGTGGTTCATTGCGCTGCATTTCATGTGCGTTACCTCGTCAGTGACTGGATTTATCAGCTCAACGTTGAGGTGATATCTATCGGCACCATCCCGAAAAGGAAATGGATACTGCGTTGGAATCGGTCTCCGACAGCCGGTATATATGTTATCACCTTGCCCTAAAATAATTAGTTTTCCAACGGTTGTTGTCGTACCGTCGTTTACAACAGCATTCACGCAGCGTGAATGCTGAGCACGAAGGCGTGTTGGACGCTGGTCTGCTGTTCCGCACAGGCGCCATTCGGCCACTCTCAGCTGGTAGTGTTCATTCTGTTGTGAACGAAGCAGGCCTGAAGCTGCAGAACGCGGTAGCCGTGACCGCAAGCCGTGCTGCACGACACTGAGCTGGCATTGGGTGACAGCCCCTTTATGTAAGTTG